CAGCCGGGCTCCAGGGGGCCTCGGAGTAGCGCTCAGGAGAGACCAAAGCCACACACCTCACAGCTGGCGGCTGCACCGGGTGTGCCCAGCCCGTCACACTTCCCCCGTCCCGCCTTCCTGCCCCTGGCGCGGTGCCCAGGGCTTTGCACCTCCTGGTCTCTTCCCTCCCTCCGACAGTGGGAAGACAGGGCACCAGGCTAGATGGACCTTCGCTCTGACCCGGTCTGGCCGTTCCTCTGGTCTTCAGATCCAGCTCCCTGCCTCCCTGCGCTGGTCTCTCCCGGGGGCTGGGCTGTTCAACTCTCTCCCCTCTCTTTCAGCAATGAGTTCAGTAAGATGGTGGCTGGGGAATATCTGAAATTCTTCGTGTTCACTGGGATGAGTCTGGACCAGGCTCTCAGGTCAGAATCTTTCATGGGGGGACACGTTATTTGGGGGGCTGGCCACCATCAGAATCTGTGTGTGCCCCAGTAACGGGGGCCCCAATGTTCCTTCTAATCTTTTCCATTCGTGTGTGGAATAAAATTGTATGTGCACCAAGGCATGTTCATGTGCACCACCAATGGAAACAAAGAACCTAGCCGTGGGCACTCTGCTGATCAGCTGAGCGGCGTTTGACTCTCTCCTGAGAGGCTGCAAAAGCGCCAGCTTACGGGGAGCGCTGGTTCCCCCCACAGGCCTGCTCTAGGCCTGGCACCCAAAGGTGGCTGCAAAGCTGTTCACATCTCAAGAAGACTTCTCCTCTTCCCCGAGAAACGGGATCCCCCGCCCAGCACCCTCTCGAGCAGGGGAGCCCATCTCGTGGGCTGGGATGTAAGAGCACAGGGGAGGTGCCAAACCCGAGCAGTGGGAGTTGTCACGAAATCCGGTCGCCGTCCTGCCCCAGCGGAGTTTCCCCAATCTCGGCCTCCGAGCCCAGAGAGTTCTGGGAGAGGCTCAGCCTCTGTCCACGCAGACTGTCCCAGCCGAGGGAGAGCCCTAGGATGTGCCCTGGCCCCGTTTTGCCAGGGGCTGGGAGGGGGATCCGCCCGGGGCTGACAGAAGGATGCGGGGTTTCCTGTTGGATACGGAGAGGAGCGGGCGGAAGGAGGCCGGGCAGGGTGGCTGATCTGAGGCATGGCTCACTCGTCTTCAGGTCCTTTCTGAAGGAGCTGGCCCTGATGGGGGAGACGCAGGAGAGAGAGCGCGTCCTGGCTCACTTTTCACAGCGCTACCACCAGTGCAACCCCGGCACGATCTCCTCGGAGGGTGAGCTGCGGCGGGGGAGGGGCTTGTAAACCTGCGTGCGGATGCCGAGGTTAAGACAGCAGTTGTCCCAGGCCTGCTGTGTGTAGCCCCAGATGAAGCGCCGTGACGCCAGGCGGGATGGCAGGGCGGGGCTTCCGAAGGACGGAGCCCGGGGGGCCTCGTGCGCACCTGGCCTCCTGCAGCCCCCCAGACCTGGCTATTTCATCCCCCCTCCTTGGACCCGTCGCAGCGCAATGCCCGCGTGGGCATCCGGCTGTGCCCTGGGTCGGCCCCCTGTGCGCGGGACGTGGGGTTGTAGGTGCCTGGAGTCGGGCCGAGGGTATCGAAGTGAGGGGGCAGGCAGCCCCAGACCCCTTGGGGAGGGGTCCGCAGGCCCCCGAACCCTCAGTACTCAGCTCAGTCTCTTCTCTTCGTGTTTGCCCAGCCAAAAACTGCCCCTTCACACAACCCACCCCCTTCCTTTGTTCCAAACCCTTCCCTGCTCAGGGGAGAACCGGTTGGGCCATTGTCTAGGTGACCGCTGGGCAGTGCTCACAGACGCGGGCCAGTAGGGGTCACCCACAGCCCACATAGAGCGACCAGTGACTGCCCGAATGGACAGCTCCCCCGCTACATCACAGCCCCGCCCTGCCGGTAACACTTATTCACACTGGGCTTATTAAGAAACAACTAGCCAATTAGCCCATCATAAGACGGGATTTTCAGGTCTCTCCTCCACGTCGGTCTTCTCTCCTGAGCCTCCGGTCTCGCTCCATGTCTCTCTCTCTCTCTCTCCTCTTTTTCGACTGCCCGAATGGACAGCTCCCCCGCTACATCACAGCCCCGCCCTGCCGGTAACACTTATTCACACTGGGCTTATTAAGAAACAACTAGCCAATTAGCCCATCATAAGACGGGATTTTCAGGTCTCTCCTCCACGTCGGTCTTCTCTCCTGAGCCTCCGGTCTCGCTCCATGTCTCTCTCTCTCTCTCTCCTCTTTTTCCTGCTGCCTCTCCCTCTCTCTCAGCTCTCCTCCGCCTCCTGCCTCTCTCTCCGTCTCTCTCTTCCTCCCCTCCTCCTCCCCCTCCC